CGACGTACATCATCGACATCGGACACTGCCGACTCTCGTCTTGTGGCCGACATTGTCAGCTACTCCCATCGCAAGTCTGCACGTCCGGATCTTCAAAAGATGCAGTCCACGCTTTGCGCAACGCTAACGTATGAGAAAATGAAAGAACCGGCCAACAAGCTGCTGAAGGAGACGTGCGGTGAGAGCACCGGCTGTCAACGTGTCGAGAGCACCTTGCCACGGGGAAGAGAATTGACGGATGAACTATTTCTCTCAACTCTCATCGATGTGTGGAAGAAGGAGGCAGTGGATTCCAACACGGAAGTATTCCTCACTGCTCTGCGCAACGTTAATCCCGTCGCGGCATTACAATGCGAGCGTGTGATGCGTCCGAGCACCAAGACACCGATCTCACCATCCACCGAGGACGCTACTGCTACTGCTATGCCTGCAGTTCGTCCAGCGCGGTGGGAGGAACAGCGCTATCTGGTTCATCTCCTGGTGGCTCATCACGAACACTGCCAGTATCAAGGTGCGTCCTGTGATGGTCATTGTTCCTTCTTTTCACAAGTGTTTTCTAAAGGCATTCACATTCAGCATGTACGGCTATCTCTATTGGGCACTTTCTCAGTACACATCATTGTTTCGACAGCAGCGTCATTGGAATATGTTATTCTGGCTGTGGAAATGCTGGTCTGCGAAGCATTGCTGCTGGTCTGTCGCACTGCAAGGGTATACTCAAGCTTTATCTTGATTGGAATGGTTCTAATGATGGCAGTCTATTGTCCTCCATCATTCTGTCTTTGTCAGGCAGTCTACAGGTTGTCCGTGTGCGTCGTAATCCTGTAGGCCATGATGGTGTTGTATCAGTTTGTAAAGCACTGTCTTCTTGTTCTCTTCTGAATGTAGCCAATGTGTCCTTCCTCATTGACCGTCATGATAACGTCCATCTGTCATGTGTTAGTGAAGTTGTTGAGTCATGCCCTAGCCTGTGTGAGCTGTATGCATGGGGTTATGGTTTCCAGTATGATGATGATTGTCTGGAAAGGTTTGTGGGAGCTGTGCAGTCGCATGGTGTATTGCATGCACTAGGGGTTTCACGCCGTGGTGAGAATGCCCTTTTGTTGTCCCGGCTCGAGCAGCTTCTCCTTGACCCCACCTGTACCCTGTGTACTGTTCATTATAGCATGATGACATGACTGTGTTTTGTAGTATGTGTACGTTATGCGAGGGCAGAACTGATTAGCTTCTTGATTCGTTTCTTGAGCACAGACCAGCAGCAGCAGCAAAGCCTAGACCAGTCATTTCTTCTACCTATCCAATGTACATAGAGAAGACGCTACTGTTGTCCAGCTTGAATTTTTTCATTTTTTATTGATTGAAATAATTTCCATGTCTGTACTCCACTCTAGCAAAACCGCTGGCCAAAATACATCGTAGCTCTGTCTATTTCATTATCTTACCCGCGTATGTGTGCGTTCGCTTGAGTATTTCTGATATTCGAATTTGGTCACTGCATTATAGTGTTCATAACATTCCTTTAGGAATGGGTTTGCTCCCACACATAATAATATTCCTGCTTAGTAATTAGTTGCTTGCCCAAAACTCATTTTTTTTCCATGATCAGTTACGTATCTACACGCTCGTGGACTGCATAATTATGTGCATTATGGAGCCATGCAAAATGCTAGCAGCTTGTGATTGGACAAATACAGTTTCTCACCTGCTATCTTTGCTAGAACCCTGGGCGCTGCGTGCTGCTTGGAGAATATTCGTTTACCTTCAAGTTTCTTACGCCCATAATATCGTTATAAATATTACTAGCAATTTTGCCATGTCAGTTACAATATCCAGCATCACCTTCTCTGAAGAGCCCTTGATCAGCGAAACAGCTGTGAGAAGGAACTGTTTTACCCGTAATCCCTTCGTTGTTTGAAATTATTGGTGTGAGTAATGGCTACCGAAGGTAGCAATGGTCGGCTTTAAAGCGCATGAAGGAGGAGAGTTTGTTGGATTTTTATAAGAAACAGCCGAATGGTACCGTGCATAGGTTTATTGATATTCGTATTTGGTTAATAATAATATTCAGCTCAATCTCATATGCATATGTAAGCAACGCCAATATGGGGAGCAACCCCAGAGATGACGCCGATGCCCAAGCCATGGGCTAGATCTGCAAACTCCGTGAATTCTCCCGCCTTCTGTGTTCACAGTCCCATACTCCCCTTGGAGTAGTCTGCACGGCGCTGCGGCTGCTGTTGCTGTTGTTGTTGTTGTTGTTGTTGTTGTTGTTGTTGTTGTTGTTGTTGTTGTTGTTGTTGTTGTTGTTGTTGTTGTTGTTGTTGTTGTTGTTGTTGTTGTTGTTGTTGTTGTTGTTGTTGTTGTTGTTGTTGTTGTTGTTGTTGTTGTTGTTGTTGTTGTTGTTGTTGTTGTTGTTGTTGTTGTTGTTGTTGTTGTTGTTGTTGTTGTTGTTGTTGTTGTTGTTGTTGTTGTTGTTGTTGTTGTTGTTGTTGTTGTTGTTGTTGTTGTTGCTGTTGTTGTTGTTGTTGTTGTTGTTGTTGTTGTTGTTGTTGTTGTTGTTGTTGTTGCTGCTGCTGCTGCTACAGGAGCTACTGCTGTGGCTGTAGTTACAGCCCCTCTCGTTGTCAGGAAATGTTTGCTTGTGCTACTTCTCATCCAGTTGACTTCTTATTATGACTTTGTACGTTATAATTTTGTTGAGTTCCGGTTTTCCCCTTCATTCTAACTCAAGTGCAGTTTAGCGTGTATTGGCTTGCGATTTCCTTTCTTCTGTTTGCTTGGCATTTTATCGCTCCACAGGTACCCTCGGTCTCAGGTGCTCTCACATTTGTGCAATTGTTGATTTTGGTCCTGAATTGTCCTCCCTGTTGCTTTGCTACCGTCCTCCTCCTTCCTCCACCTTTTTTTCTTAATTGGCCTCATTATGGCATTCGCTTCCATGTAATTGGGCTTGTAGCCCGTGTGTACTTGCGAATTCAAATAAAAATATACATACATACATACATACATACATACATGGCAAAAGTACAACAAAATGGAAGGAATGCAACGGGGAGGAAAGCAAAGCTCAGCCATTAAATAATACTTTAAAAATAAAATCGGTAATAATTATTTTTTTTGTCTCTTTCCCTCAAAACCCAGTTAATTATTTAATTTTAATTTTTATTTTATTCCAAGCAATACATGGCTGGGGTAGCCAATGACCACTTTGCGTGGCTATTGCAGGGTTTTTATAGCCAACCACGGCTAACAAGGAAAAGAGTAAGAAGTCAAAAAGAAAAGGAACTTACTTACATTGCATAGCCAATGCCATTAAATGGAATTGCGCACATTACTTAAGAAATGTTTAGCCAATGCCAAGTGAAAAAAATTGATTGCATATCGTCAGCGTCCGCCCCGATTTTCGCCCCCCCCCCGGCCAGTTTATTTTATTTTTAGTTCCGCTAGATGTACTGTACAGTAAAACCTGTCAAGGCGACCACCTGTCCTAGAAGACCACCTGTCCTAGAAGACCACCTGTCCTAGAAGACCACCTGTCCTAGAAGACCACCTGTCCTAGAAGACCACCTGTCCTAGAAGACCACCTGTCCTAGAAGACCACCTGTCCTAGAAGACCACCTGTCCTAGAAGACCACCTGTCCTAGAAGACCACCTGTCCTAGAAGACCACCTGTCCTAGAAGACCACCTGTCCTAGAAGACCACCTGTCCTAGAAGACCACCTGTCCTAGAAGACCACCTGTCCTAGAAGACCACCTGTCCCACAAGACCACTGCAACCAGGACTAAGGGATGCTATTTCCAGTCAATTGGCCCTGGATACGGCGACCACCTGGCGACAGAGACCACCTTTTGAAGGTCCCTTGAGCGGTCGCGTTGGACAGCTTTCACTGTATGTGCATGCGATCTATGCCTATACGCCTATACGGCCTCTAATTAGCGTGCCTGTAGATCTTGGAAGGCGAAGTACGCAGACTGAATCATGCGTGTAAGTGCTACGGGCTTGAAAAGTGAAAGAGATAATCAGCTGCCTGATTTTCTTTGTTGTCCTACGTTGGTTGTTTCACTTTTCTATATTTTGCATCCTCAAAATTATCTTGCAAGATGTTATTCGAGGCTGACGATTCATCGTGTGGATTTATCTCACTCTGCGTAAGATGGCTTCAAAGGAAAAGTGAAGAAAAGGCATGTGTAGGGATTGCGAGCACATACCATGCAGCCATACATGCAAAATAAGAAAAAATATATTACCTCCCGTCCGCCCCGATTTCCCCTGGAAAATCTGACCGAATAAACAATCAATAATAATGTTTGGCATGGCCTAAACACGAATTGAGTTTCCTGCACAAACAAGCAGATACAGAATCATGTGATAGCGGGCATTAAACCGCTCATCAAAAGTTATTATCGTAGGCAGTGCAATAGAATAAAATCAACGGCAGTAATGGCATTAATACACGGGTTAAAATAATGCTATAGGCGTGGGGTGATGCTAAAATAATTTTGTGAAAAATTTCTCATACCATTTGTGTACATGGCAGAACCACAGAGACTGATATCTTTCTCGTGACTCCGTGTCTCGTGTTTAAAAACACTCATCAAACAGCAGCAGTACGCTCTGCCCTTGTTAGGTATTGAGCACTGGTTTGCAGCAAGGAGCTCGGACACTTTTGTTGTGTCACCATGTGTGCACGTGTGTGTATCATCTTGTATGTGTGTGCACACATGTGCGCGCACACGCGCGCGTGTGTGCGTGTAACTTATTTGTGTGGTGTGCGTGCGTGTGTGTTTGTGTGTGTGTGTGGGGGGGGGGGGGGTACGTGCTCGAGCATGGGTGTGAACTACTGTGCTGCTCAATGAAATCCAGTCGATGCACTCAAGTACGTGCTGGGCGTTGCGCAACCCTACACCTGCGAACACTGGGCTGCAAAATGGTGCAAGGCGCAAACTTGAGTGACGCGACTGGATTTCATTGAGCAGGACTGTGCAACGAACCTCTCCACTCTTGGCCCGTGCGTCAATTTTAGTCCGGTAGAAAATCAAGGTGTAAAGTTAGCAGTGTGTGTTGTGAAGTGTGGCTTACTATGCATCGTACAATAATTATTATAGTTGCTACTGTAGTAGCAGAAAAGTATGATTTTGCCAAACAGGGGAGGTAACCACGGTGTTATCTTCTTACAGAGTGCCCTAAAAAATTAATATTGGGACTTTACACCGAACCGTATTAAAAACAAACGTGATATGCATGTCTCGTGGCAAGCAGAAGGAATTAATTAATTTATTTATTTTAAACTCAACTGCATAGCATAATTATGCTAGCAAAGCTGATAATTATGGGGAGCAACCCCAGAGATGAGGGCGATACCCAGCCATGACAAAAGTACAAACAAATTGAGAAGAGCGGATTGGCAAGAATGGAACGGGCAGGAAAGCAAAGCTCAGTTATTTTAGAAGTGGTACAGTCAGTAATTTCATTGTATAGGTAACGACGAATTAAGTTCCATGAATCAGCCAGTACAGAGTCACGTGATGGCGGGAATTAAACCGCTCCTCAAACATTATTATCGTAGGCAGTGAAATAGACTAAAATCAACGGCAGCAAAGGTGCTGATACAAGGGATAATATTATATAGGGGTGGGCCGATGTAAAATAATTTAGTCAAGATTATGATACCAAGGGTGCACATGACAGAACCACAGAGACTGATATCTTTCCCGTGACTCAGAGTCTCGTGTTTAAAAATACTCAGCAGACTGCAGTAGTACGCTCTGCCCTTTCGGACATTTTGTTCACCACGCGTGCACGTCTGTGTGTATATATCTGTGTGTATATATGTGTGTGTATGTGTGTATGTGTGTGTACATGTATGTGTGTGTGTGTGTGTGTGTGTGTGTGTGTGTGTGTGTGTGTGTGTCTGTGTGTGTGTGTGTGCATGTGTGTGTATGTGTGTACGTGTGTGTGTGTGTGTGTGCGGGCACGTCAATGGTCAGCTGACACACGTCCTCTTTCCATCCACGATCAAGATTTGCAACTCATCACTGTTTCGGTCTGTTGACAATGAGAGCAGATTGGCTGGTTATGCTAGCGGTCGTGAACTGGCCGTCTTCACTCGGCTATGCAGAGAGAAAGAGAGGACGACAGAATGACTACCACAGCTTAGTGGGCATTAGAAACTCCCATATCTCTCTTATCCAGGACCAGGCCCTTAACTCGGAATGTCTGAATCTTTTCGCTCACATAGCAAAGGGATTGTACATGGGGTAGTGGTCTACCAGAATGTACTCAGTATTCCGTCACACCACACTCGCAACCACACGCTAGCCAAAAACTAGGCCAGAAGTAATAAAGAGCAAGGCGGCCAGCAAGAGATATGTCAGTGCAAGACACGAGCAGAGCAATGTCCTGGTGTGGGTGACTGGGCAGTGGGTGAGCACCTGAAAATCCGACTCCCTAAATTTCCAGCCACGACCGCTCAACCGGGCTGGGGAAAAACTCGCCTTGCGGCCAAAAAACCCTTCTACTAATATGGGACCTGCCCCACTGCCAGTCACACCCAAAAAAAACGAAGAGAAACAAGCAGAAAGGAGAAATCATACAACCAAAAAACACCGAAACCCTCGGGACAGAAAAACACAAAACAAAGCATGCCTTGGAAAACCAGTAAAACAGCACCCAGTGGAATCCCAAAAACGTACGGGACCCAAGGGAGATAGGGCGGGAAAAATTCCACGCTATACGAGGAATACAAGACCACGGTGGCAGGTGGGGGAGAGTTGCGCAGTGGAAGAGCAGCAGAGCATGACAGAAAAAAGGTGAGTGAAAAATACGTTTTTTACACTCTTTCGCGACGCTCAGCCGTGAAAAAACAGCACATTCTGAATCATGGGTCCATAGAAAAGACAACAAGGACCAAGGAACTACAAGTTACGCTGTAAAATCCACTAACACCACCAGACACTAAACAATCAGCTCACCCGATAACTAGAGCTGATCGCCAGTTAGCTGTGGAACGTCAGTGCCGTCGGTCAGTGTCGTGCAATGTTATCGCATGAGCTGATTGTCAAGTAACTGGTAGTGTAGTGGACATTATAGCGTAACTTGTAGTTCCTTGGTACTTTTTCTTTTTCTATAAATCTATCCTTGGCTCTCCGTCAGAGTCCATTCTCACTCTGAACCACGTACATTTTCAGGGGAAGGGCCACATATCAAGGATAAGTTTCCATACAGTAATACTGGGCGCCGAAGAACGGCCAGGCTAGGATTTTACCAGTTCTTATGAACGGCACAGGCTGGATGTTTTGCAGATAGGAACGGAAACCAGTTTGTACACTATAATGTACACTGAGACGTATAACTCTGCATAAATGTACTTTGAAGTACATGTAATACTGTACCATTCAATAAGAACGAAACTGCTGTGTTTGCTAAAACTAAGAACAGGCTAGGCTAGTACCTTGACCCCCCCCTTCAGTACTGTATGCAAACTATTAGCCACTTGGTTTACTTACTTCCCGCTGCACGTGAGGATAGCGCTGTGTTGGGTTTCTTGCAGCTCGCTGCCCGATTCCTCCTCTCGACGGGCCAGTACGAGACTGAAGTACATACAGGTAGACCGAGACAAGACAGTTCACAGCCAAGTAGAGTGTCGTGAACTATGCATATTCAGGATTCTAGCCAAAGGAGTGCAGAAGGAGCAGCCCCCCCCCCCCCCACCCCCTACTCTGATTGAGCCCCCACCCCCACCCCGTGAAAAGTGGCGCCCTTCTACTCATTCGTCGATTTCTGTATTTTTCATGCCATTCAACAAAAAATGCAGTCGATGCTCACCACTAGAGGGTTCATAAAGGCACGTTTGTTTGGGGTGAAGTCGGGGTTCGCCCTGTACGTTGCATTTTGCATGGTAGGACAGCTTTAGAAAGTGGAAAAATGGGTTACGAGGTACCGTTTCCCCTCCCTCCCCCCCCCCCCTGCAATTTTGATCCCTGATGTGGGGACCTGAATGTTTTGAGAAAGTGCACCCTTCCATTTTTTGCAGCATGCATGCTAAAAACTTAAGAGAGCATGTCTGAGAATACCAAAGTATGTGTGCAAGTGGATCTCTCCGATTTCGCTCAAAATTTGCAGGTATGTTCCCTTTGGGGTGTGGATCGATCGTGCAAAGCCCTTGAAAAAGTTTCTGAAGGGAACCTTGAAATTTGGATACCCCTCAGAAATGGCCGAAATATCACATTATTTATGGGTCTAGAAACGAGTCACGCCACAGCGTATACGAACAAGCTATGAACAAAACTCCATCAAGCCAACATTGCCTCACCTTAGAAGAGTTCCTGGAGCGGTACCGCTTAGCCACGCCAGGATCCCAGAAGACGAGGTCCATCACCCCCTGACGCCACAAATGATCGTCTTGAAAATAGCCAATTTACAAGCGCTGGCGAAACAGCCAGCTACGTCCTCAATTGGCCAGAACTATACACCGGCAGATAGTAGAACACCTCTTCTAGCGCTGAGGACATGTCCCCCATCTTCCTTTTGGGGTTTTCTTGAAATAAACTTTTTTGAATTTTTCTACTCGACCATGCTGAAATACGGCCAAAGTCATACCTGCGCAGGAAAGCTCGCCCCTCCGCGACGTCTCCTCAGCAATTTCTACTCCTGTGGTGTCAGATAGAGTTTATTCACAACTAGCAAGGAGGACAACAAACGAAGAACAACATTCCAAGCAGTGTGCGAACACAAAAGGGAAGTGTGTACGAACACCAAGGAAAGTGTGTACGAGCGCATATGGAAGCAGGAGCTCTAGGCGGGTGCATACGGGGTGCGGGAGTTGCACCATATACGGAAGTATGCCATATACATCATGCCCTCCTAAGATAAAAACGTACAAGTGTTTATCTAATCAACAAAAAATAATGTGAAAATTGCATGTGCGTAGCAAATGACATGTCGCGGAGCAGCAGCAACTTCCAACAGACTTGTAAAAGGGATAATTGCAAAAATTATATACATGAAGGTTTTCAACTGCGAAACAATGGGAATGACAATTGAATAGGTACAATGGACATCAACAACTGAACAGAGCGAGTGTTAATTGTACGATTGTCCACGCGTTGAAATAATGTTAAAGGGGACATTCTGTCGCCGGGGACGTTGGCTTGTTCGAGGTGGTACCTGAACAGTTGACTGTGGCGACGACTGAGTCACAGGGACTGCTTGTGGTGAAGCGTCGAGTACGGGAGACGATGCAGGCATGGCTGTTGAAGCTGGAGTAGGAGGACGGTACGGGCGGAGGTAGCGATGGTTGCGCCAATATACGCGTCCACTCGGTAGCTTGACGTAGTAGTCGCGGTGGTCACCGATAGCCACGACAACGCCGCGGGAAGACCACCGTTTTGTCTTCGGGTGCTGAATGTCAACGTGCGTCCCGATAGACAAGTGGGGAAGCTCTCGGTGAGGCTGACTGGGAGGCTGGTCTACTCGATCAACATCATCCATGTCAGATGCGGTGTCTTGCCAGTGGGAGTCGAACTGGCTCCATTGGGCGAGAACGAAGGAGACGAGTGGGCGACCATACAGTAACTGGGCAGGACTCTTTCCCGAAGTGCCAGGAGTATTGCGCCACTCGAGAAGGCCACGCTGGAAAGCATCGGTGTCTAGATTACCGTCATTGGTAGTCTTTTCCACCAGGTACTTCATTGCCTTTACGGCTGCTTCCGCATGTCCGTTCGACTGTGGGTAGTGAGGGGACGACTTGATATGACGGATTCCCCAGCGCTCGCAAAATTCAGCAAATCTGTGAGACGCAAACTGAGGACCGCCGTCCGTTGAAATGACCTGTGGTACGCCTACATCTGGGAACCACCTGCGGAAATGACGAATGACGTCAGCTGACGTGGCTGAGTGACCAAGCTTGGCTATGCATGGCCATCCGGTTAAGCGGTCGACGAATACCAAATACTCGCAACCTTGGCAACTGAAAAGGTCAGCACTAACACTTTCGAATGGCAAAGTGGGCTTGCGGTCAGAAATGGGCGGTTCGGCAGACTGAGACGGCTGAAATTCACGGCATGCATCACAGCTGCGGACTAGCGTGTCTAACTCACTGTTCATTCCGGGCCAATACACTGTCTGACGAGCACGTCGTTTGGTACGGGTCAGACCTTGGTGGGCTGCGTGAAGGTCGATCAGCGTTGACGCACGCAGAGAGGCTGGGACGACTATGCGTAGACCTTTCAGGACTATGCCATTGTCGGTGGACAAATGTTCACGCACGTTCCAATACGCACGAAGAGGCTCGGGCAGCTGCTTTTGTGCTGAGGGAAATCCGTTCTGGATATACCCGAGTAGCATCTGGTAGTCAGGATCAGATGCTGCTGCGGCACGGAGCTTAGCGAACTGGAGACTCTGGGGACCATCTTGGAGTAGACAGATACGGATACTGCGGCAGGACAGTGCTGGATCTTCTCCAAGTTCATCATCACTAGTCGGGATTGATACAGGATGTCGTGAGAGGGCGTCTGCGAATACGTGCTCTGAACCCTTACGCCACGATGCTTTCACTTGATACGGACGAAGTTTCATGATCAATCGGAGTAGACGAGAGTTCTCAATCTGGTCAAGGGTGTAGCTGTTGATAATCGGTACAAGCGGACGATGGTCGGTGATTAGTGAGAACTGTGCAGCAGATAGATACAAGCGGCACTTGTGCACTGCCCAGACGACTGCGAGGCACTCGAGCTCGATTACAGCGTACCTTGTTTCAGCGTCAGATAAGAAACGACTTCCACACTGGATGAGGTGCCATTGCTGGTCATCATGCTGTTGCCATAGGGCAAATCCAAGGCCATTCTTCACAGATGCATCAGTCTCGAGACGGAGAGGCTTGCCAGGTTGGAAGAAAGCTAACACTGGTGACTCAGTCAGAATGGCTTTGACGGCTTCGAATGCTATGGTGTGCTGCTGATCCCAGGCGAACTCATTGCTGGTTTTCAGGAGTGGGCGAAGCGGCTCACTTAGTTCAGCAATGCGCGGTGTGAAGTCGCTGCATTGGTTGACCAAACCGAAGAATGAGCGGAGGTCAGTGCGGTTGCAGGGCACTTCGAACTGGCGAATGGCAGATGTCTTGCTACCATCAACGGCATAACCATCAGCATTGATGACGAATCCGCAGAACTGTACTTCACTAGCACCGAATACAAACTTGTGTGGGCTGAGCGTAATGTGATGCTCACGGGCACGGTGAAGGACGTCACGAACGTGGGTGACGTGGTCTTGAAAATCGACGTCATGTACTAGGCCGTCATCAACGACTTTGACGAAGTTAGCGAGGCGGTCAAATGCTGCGTCTGTGCGGCAGTTGAATTCGTCACCTGCTGAGGACAGACCTTGAGGGTTGCGGCAATAGCGATACCGACCCCAGGGCGTGATGAATGTCGTGAGCGGCTTCGAGTCGTCGGACAGGGGTATTTGCCAGTACCCATGACGAGCGTCGAGTGTGGTGAAGAAACGGGCTTTACCAATAGCTGTCACGGCGTCACGCGGAGTACGAGCTGGGTGTGTTGGTCGGCAGACTTGGTCGTTGAGTTTACGCAAATCAACGGTGAGGCGCTTCTCGTTAGAAGACTTCTTATCTGCGATGACGATCGGGTGGCACCAGTCTGACGGTTCAGTGACTGGCTCGATAATTCCATTGATCACCATATCGTCCAGTTGAGATTTTATCTGGTCTCGGAATGCGAATGGGATTGCGCGGGCACCATTAACACGAGTTGGTGTGGCGTCAGATTGAAGCTTTATCTCCATGGGAGGACCAGCCATGGGCTTCAATTGGGAATCGTCAAATACATCAGCAAACTCTTGCATCAGCTGAGCCTTAACATCAGCAATGTCTGCACTACTGGGTTCGGACTTCACACGGGAGATCCGCGGCCAGGACTCAGGGAGAATGCCAAGAGCACGGAGAGATTGGCATGACAGCAACGCATCATCGAGGTCTTCATACACATGAAGTACCGTGGTGTGCTGGGCTGAGCCAATGGAGAGCGTGGCAGAAATCTTTCCCAGGCTAACCAGAGAGGTGCCGTTTGCTGCTGAAACAGTGTCGGAATCGACGGCAAGGTTCTCAGGGAAGCCACCTAGCTGGGAAAGATGTGCTGGCCCAATGGCGTCAACATCGCTGCCGGTGTCTGGAATCCATGTCATGGCTTCGGCGGTCGGTTCTGTGTTGAGCTGCGTGTGGACACTGAGTTCTAGACCATGTCGAACAGAGGCACGTTGCAACTTAAGTTGACCGACTTTGCCGGATGCTGTTGGTTTGCCTTTGTGCGGGCACATGGACTGAAAATGTCCGACACGTTGACATCCGTTACATTTGCGTGACTTCGCAGGACATGTGCCTTTGGTGTGGGGACTGCGACCACAGCTGGGACACTTGTCACCGGCGGGCTTGTCTGGTGTAGACTTCACGGGAGCGGGCCGGCTCGCCTTCTGCTGTTTATAAGATGATTTCTTAGCTGCGTGCAAGTGACCACTGGAGGGAATGCCAGAGGAAGTTTGGTAGGCTGCTTCCTCAGCACGGCAGAGCTTCACGGTTGCCTCCAGATCCAAGTTCTGGAGGGCCAGCAGCTTGTGACGCACGTCGTCCTCAAATACACCTGTCACAATGCGGTCACGTAGTATGTCGCTTTTGAATTTCAACAGGCCTGCCTTGCAGGGGTTGCACATCGCCTGGTTGCAGTTATGACATACTGAACACCCAGAAAAGTCACACGCGTGAAACAGTTCACGGAGGGCCGTATAAAAGGAGTCAAATGATTCCCCACGCTGCTGCCGTCTCTTGTAAAATTCAATTCGGTCGAGCAGCGGGTTCCTCTGCCGCCGGATGTACTGCTGGAGGACCGGGATGGCATCAGCAATGTCAGCGTCTTCCGGGAAGGCGATAATGCCTTCTCGGATGAAACGGCGCAGGTCCTCATCTAGGGCCTGGCGGAACGCTGACATACGTGTATAGCGGTCGTGGCTGGCGAGACATTGGCATTGCGCATAGTCACGCCAGGCCTCCTCCCAAGCGGTAAATTCTGCCATTGTGGCAGTAGATAACAATACTGGTCGTTCTGCGGACACAGACTTGGGTGCGGGTGGGGTTGTAGAACTAGTACTGGTCTGGTTGGACATCCTTTCCATCAGGGTCTGAAACTGTTGATCTCGCAGTGCAGACGCCTGTGCCTGAGTTGTCAGGAGCTGCAGGAGCGTGGCGACGTCAGGCACTCCATTACCAGAAGGTGCTGCGGGATCGCTGCTCGCCATGCTGATCACAAATGCTCGTTGTGACAGCTCACACAACTACGTCCTACGAAATAAATTGAACAACACTCTAATCTAAAACGAACTAACAAACTAACTGCAGGGTAATCTAATCCAAATCCAACGGAGTGCTACACTGCTACTGGGCCAGGTAAGACACTACAAACTAGGTTGGTGTGGACAGAATGGAAACTACAGGACGAAATGTTCACTGCGCCATGTGGTGTCAGATAGAGTTTATTCACAACTAGCAAGGAGGACAACAAACGAAGAACAACATTCCAAGCAGTGTGCGAACACAAAAGGGAAGTGTGTACGAACACCAAGGAAAGTGTGTACGAGCGCATATGGAAGCAGGAGCTCTAGGCGGGTGCATACGGGGTGCGGGAGTTGCACCATATACGGAAGTATGCCATATACATCAACTCCAACACTACTCCCAAGGCCGCAGAACAAAGTGTATTGTTGGCTCTGACAAGGAAAAAGCAGCGGTGATCACTTGTCACTCCAAACGACAAGCTTCTCCTTGCGCCACCGATAATTTTTTGTGCGACTGTTGATGCAAAAGTGACTGAAGGCCTGAGCGCAGTTTTTGAATTTTATTGCAAGATGCACGATGAGATTGCGTGCTCTGTGACGTAGGATGACGCTTCCATATCACGACACGCGGCCATCGATCGCGAACGTGACTGGAACGCTACTCGGAACAGACCATGATGGCCGCGAGGTAAGATGAACTGTATTTCCTGCTTGATCTACTGAGAACCCTCACAAACTGTCCTAGGAGTGTTGCAATGGCAGCAAGCCGTTGAAATATGCCCCACGTACAGCATGGAGAGTTATTCATCTTTCAAACTTACCTCCTGAAATCCGAACTTAGTCCAACGGTAAAAGTCCCTTGTTTTCATGTCGATGCTCGACAAAAGCTGCAAGCTCGGTCGCTTTGTGTTGACTGGCACGCGAGCAGCACTGGCTGCACGAACTTGTCGCGTGAACTGCATGAGAGATTTCTTACGTCATAAAGAATATGATTTCATCATCATTTCACTGGTCTTCGACTTACATGGTCAGGGAAAATCCCGATTCGTAGGCCTACAACATGGTCATCGTGTTCTTGAGCGCAGTAACAACACAAGTGTGATCACTTCCAGACCAACGGGCGTTCAAGGCGAGTAACAAGCGCACATGACGAAGGTGACTCTGAAATCTCGTGAGACATGATCCACGGGACTTGGAATTCTTGCGTCACAAGGCACGTGATTTCACCGTGCCTCTTGTAGTGAAATTCTTTGAATTGCGCTCATGCTTTCAGTCACTTTTGCATCAACAGTTGCACAAAAAATTATTGGTGGCGCAAGGAGAAGCTTGTCGTTTGGAGTGACAAGTGATCACCGCTGCTTTTCCTTGTCAGAGCCAACAATACACTTTGTTCTGCGGCCTTGGGAGTAGTGTTGGAGTAGAAATTGCTGAGGAGACGTCGCGGAGGGGCGAGCTTTCCTGCGCAGGTATGACTTTGGCCGTATTTCAGCATGGTCGAGTGGAAAAATTCAAAAACGTTTATTTCAAGAAAACCCCAAAAGGAACATGTCCTCAGCGCTAGAAGAGGTGTTCTACTATCTGCCGGTGTATAGTTCTGGCCAATTGAGGACGTAGCTGGCTGTTTTGCCAGCGCTTGTAAATTGGCTATTTTCAAGACGATCATTTGTGGCGTCAGGGGGTGATGGACCTCGTCTTCTGGGATCCTGGCGTGGCTAAGCGGTACCGCTCCAGGAACTCTTCTAAGGTGAGGCAATGTTGGCTTGATGGAGTTTTGTTCATAGCTTGTTCGTATATGCTGTGGCGTGACTCGTTTCTAGACCCATAAATAATGTAATATTTGGGCCATTTCTGAGGGGTATCCAAATTTCAAGGTTCCCTTCAGAAACTTTTTCAAGGGCTTTGCACGATCGATCCACACCCCAAAGGGAACCTACCTTCAAATTTTGAGCGAAATCGGAGAGATCCACTTGCACACATACTTTGGTATTCTCAGACATGCTCTCTTAACCCCTTTAGCGCGAGCGTCGTACTAGTACGACGCACATGAGTTGCATGCCCCACGGCCGTCGTACTAGTACGACGCGCGCTGTACACTGTACAGTGAACCTGCATCTCATAGTCGTGGGGTCCGTGTTGAGTCCATAGTGACTTGTTCAAACTATCGTAACTCACTCAATACTTGGTCGATTCTCACAATCGAAACATGTATCTGCAAGAGAAAACTCTCAGCTGGCGATAGAAACAATCGCCGAAGCGATGCGACCACCGGTTGTTGAGATATGCGACTCGACACGGCAAATTTCAACTCGATTTATTTGCGCAGTCTGCAGAACGCGCATCTCATAGTCGTGGGGTCCGTGTTGAGTCCATAGTGACTTGTTCAAACTATCGTAACTCACTCAATACTTGGTCGATTCTCACAATCGAAACATGTATCTGCAAGAGAAAACTCTCAGCTGGCGATAGAAACAATCGCCGAAGCGATGCGACCACCGGTTGTTGAGATATGCGACTCGACACGGCAAATTTCAACTCGATTTATTTGCGCAGTCTGCAGAACGCGCATCTCATAGTCGTGGGGTCCGTGTTGAGTCCATAGTGACTTGTTCAAACTATCGTAACTCACTCAATACTTGGTCGATTCTCACAATCGAAACATGTATCTGCAAGAGAAAACTCTCAGCTGGCGATAGAAACAATCGCCGAAGCGATGCGACCACCGGTTGTTGAGATATGCGACTCGACACGGCAAATTTCAACTCGATTTATTTGCGCAGTCTGCAGAACGCGTATTTTCCATCATGGATCACTTGTGCGCTACCTGCTGCCATGGAAACAAGATTCAAATGATGGTAGTGGATCC